GATCCTGGATCTCTGCAGTGTGAAAGTAACTAAGACACTTGGTCATACTGTAAGAGACTCAACATTAGAAACTGCCATACTCTTCCATAGCAACTATACCATTGTGCATTCCCTCTGCAAATGTGTAAGTGTTGCAATTGCTACACATATTCACCTGGCAAGCACAAGATTGTGAGTTTGATTCCCAGTACCAAAAAATAAAATAAAATAAAATAAACAGGTTAAAACATATTTTGGATATTAGTTTATTAACAAAGATTTAAATCTGATGTAAGTATATAATTATCTAAAGAAAGAGATGCCTGACAGGCAAAGAACACACTAGAAGAGAAAAATTAATATTGGGGGAAAGGGATGATTATCATTTTATATTTTATACCTCTCTGAATTCTTTGAGTTTGAGATAGTACACTTAATAATTTTATTGTAGTTATGAACAAAATAGCAGCAAAGATAAAATATCTGTGGTGGTAAATTCAGTGTCCGTGGAATATCCTTCAGTGAATTCCAGGGTTTCACACTGGTCCCCCTCTTCAGGCCTTTTATTCCCACCAAAGCCAAGCCACTAATGATTTTCCCCCCTTCTCTTTCACTTAGTAACTGAGCATTGATGATTTTCTGACCCCTACCCTCTACTAACGTTTTCCTGGAGAATTCACTCACCCTGCCCCAGCCCTTGTAGTTGCTTCTTCCAAACAGTGCAACAAAGACTTGGCCACCAACCCAGCTTGGTGGTGACCACCTGTAATCCCAGCATTGTGGGAGGCTGAATCAGGAGGATTCCAAATTTGAGCCTAGCCTCAGTAATTTAGGGACTTAGTAATACTATGTCTCAAATAAAAAATAAAACAGGGTTAGGGGTGTAGCTCAATGTAAAAAGCTTAGGCTGACTACCTAGCCCTGGGAAAAAACTGGTCCCTGAAGCTGCCAGTTGAGCCTTTGTTCATCACAAAAGCCCGGTAAAATACTGATCACTTTTCTTCAAAATGCATGGGGAGAGACATGAGTGGAGATAAAGTACCTATTTTATAGTAGATATTTGTAGAATTGATTTAATTTTATATGGCAGTAAATATAATAAATGTATAAGTAGCTCCAGATCTTTTGGAGTCAAATCCAGTGTCTAGATGTTGACCAGCTCCAAGTATAAATGCCTCTTTGTTCTACGTATCACAATCCCCGCCCCAACCCCGAATCAAACTCAGAACACTTCCATTTCTCCGAGGAAGAGTGGTCTGCAGTCTCAGACAATTACTCACCTATCACCTTTAACTCCCAACATAACCTTTAAAAAAAAATACCCTATATATTCATTCCATGGTCTAACACCGGAGACTGTGGCTTCTCACACTACACTTCCCTCAGACATGCACTCCTTCACCAACTCTGTTCTCCCTCTGGAATCTACTAGTTGTCCTCCCTTGCTTCATGCCATCCTAACATACGTACACAGCCTCGAAAAACCTGCAGCTGAACCACTGAATCTCGGTGTTGTCCACACTCATGCCTGCAGAACCAGCACAGGCCCCTGGGCTCCAAGGGGCCAGTCACAGAGATAGGATTCATGGAGTAAAGACTGAATTTATGGACTGTCTTTGGGGAGGAATTCATAGAGAAAGGGATGCCAGAAAGTCCTGCCCGGGCACAGCAGAGCACAGCAACATTACTGACCCAGTGGGCCTCTCTCAGTCCCGCCTCACATACAGCACTCATTCCAGCTGAGAGACGCGGTGGCAAACACAGCAAAAAGATTGTTTTCTTCCTGGAGCTTAGCGCCAATGGAGTACGCTCCTATTAAGCAATGGACTTCTCTTGCAATGGCAGTACAGTCTACAAAGGAGGCGAGAAGAGTAACAGGAAATTAAAGCAGAGTTTTCAGTCAGGTCTTGGACATCAGAAAATGCGTAACTCATGAAGTTTATTTTCCCCTGAAGCATGGACAAATACATCATTACCTCAAAATAGAGGATTTAGAATTAACCCAGGTATAGATGAGAATTGGAGTGATTTAATCCTTCTATTCAGAAAGGAAAGCTAGAGAGCCCAGGTCTAAAAAATATAAAATATTCTTACTTGAGGTCCAGAGGGACACTCGGAGAAACAAGACAAGGAAACATGTATTATGGTGGGGGAAATTCCAGGGAATGCCCCATCCTACCCTGCACAGGAATCAGTAGGACCCAGAGGAAGGCGCCATAAATAGCTGGGATAACAAGAATGCAATCCACCAGGTACAAAGATCATGACTAAGGCGGCTCGCAGTGCTTCTAAGAAATGCCCTGCTGGAGCTCTCTGACACCTGCAGGGTCTCTCCCAAGGAAGTTGGGATAGACTCTGACCCTCACAAAAAGGCTCTTCATATCCCTTCTGCGGGGAACCAGTCACTCCCTGCAGTGATAAATATGCCCACAATCTCCCTAAACTGTTCCCTCCTTCAAAAAGAATGTACAATGAATGAAGAGGAAGAGAGAAAAGGAACAGCCATGAAGAAAAGGCATTATCAAAAGCATTATTCTGTCCTCCCAAATTTTCTTCCCACACATTACTATGTGACCAAAGAGCAGATATGATTCAGTATACCCTGTCAGCCCCAGGATCCCTTCCGTACTGTCCCCCTTCCCTCCCTCTTGCCACTACCCAGAAAAGGTTCATGCAGCATTCACATCTTGTAAACTTTTCTCAGAGAGATGAAAGCATCCCACCTCCTGGGCACCAAGAACAGGTATTCTCAACCTCACTACCTGGTGCCCTCACCTGGCTCCCACAGAGCTCTCTGTGAGAACTGATCTGAGACGCTTCAGAAAATTTGAGGTTCTGGAGGAAGGCTTAGATTGCCATCTAAAGCAATCATAACACTGGAACCAAGAAGCCCCTGACCCACAGGAAGTCCTAGCAATGGGCTTCTCCTCAGTCACACTGAACCCCTAGGTCAGGAGCCTCTCTTCTATCACTGTGACATTCTCAAAACCGAAAGTAAATTAGAACAAGGAAAGAGTACTTCGACCTGGAACAGATAGGCTATTCTGGAAGCTATCTATTACGAGGTACAGAGAGGATGAAAACCAACTGACATCTTCTTTCTGAGAAACACTGATACTTACTCCTTCCGTTTGGTTCCTATTTTAAGCCAGTTTTTCATTTCCAAGAGTGCTGACTCTTTCTGCAATCCTGTATTCCCTGCATGTGCTTCCTTCCGTCATACTTCATATTTTCATTTGGAAAAATGTGTTTTACATTCTTTACTCTTTAATTTTTCATGTTTTGAGAAGATTGAAAATTTAGAGATGAGCAAAAATTACAGATAGAAATGCCCATATTTTCACCACTCCAAAATCATTACTTTTTGTGTCATATTGTTGTCTATCCTTCTACATTTCTTAAGCAAATAAGTTCATGTTGCCCACACTCTTACAAAAACTGCTTTTTGAAATCAATTCTATTTTCTAGATGTTTTTCTTTCTGCCTCTCTCCTTCCATGTTTTTCTCTCTTTCACACACACACACACACACACACACACACACACACACACACACACGGCACAGGTGTACTCAGGGTGATTCCCTCAAACTATTCTCCACAGATTACTCAATTTTAAAATACTTCTCTATTTGGGGGGAAAATATAAGATATATACATGAATTTTTCAAATTCATTTTTCCAGCTTTGTTAGAAATGTATATTAATCTATCTACATTTTAGACTAGGATATAGACACACAGATATCACAAATTTTCAGCAAACAAAAGAGGCAAATAATTTCTCAACCTTTCCCTTTTTCCTCCAATTTTCCCTTTCTAATCCCAAGTATTTGAGAATTAAAGCATTAGGTGGGTGTCAGAACTCAAGTGAAACGCATGGGTTGCCCAGCTTGGACTGACTGCGTCTGATGAAGTGAGGAGTGCACGCATGAGGAGGGGTCACAGCCCTGAAGAGATCTGCAAAAAAATAAATGGTAGTATTTTCATACAACGTAATGACATGCAGCAACAAATATAAATAAAATACTGTCATGTGCAACTTAGAATCTTAAAAACATGTGCTTAGCCAAAAAAGACAAACTCAAAAGCATACATCTGTATGATTTCCTTTTTGTTGTTTTGAAGTTTTATAACAGGCAAGATTAAGCTGTATTAGAAATTATTTCTTCTGGATTATATTGAATGACAATGAACATGAGAGAACTCTGTAAGGGATGAAAATTTCCATAAGCAAAGTGGAAATATCAAGGTGGCAGTCACATTAGTATAAGCATTTGTGGAATGTCTTTGAACTATATATTTCAAGTCAGTGCATTCTGCTGTCTCCAACTTTATCTAAATAAATTTGATTTCTTATAAGCTGAATGATCTCACTGGATCCAAAGAATAATTATTTAAAATGTAGGTAACGCTAACCAGAGTGCTTGTGCGTTAACATTAATATCTAGCCAATTACTGTGTTTCTGATCATCTATATACATTGTAAAACATGAAAAACATTAATTAAACTTGGAAATAAACTGAAAGAAAACTTCTTTGAAGTACAATCTATGCCTGGCACTGTTAAATTGTGTAATTTCTATTCCACTATTGGGAGTGTCCCAAAAGCACTCAGAACGCGGAGCCCTCTGTCTCTGAGCAATGACTTTCCCTGTATAGCTTTACACACGCCCTTCAGGGCCAATTACGGTGTGATAGGAAAACGCATGCTTCTTTGGTTTCAACCTCTAAATCAACTGATTTTGAGGAGAACATTGGGATGACCCACAAATTTTACGACCGCACATAAAGATGATCTCCTCTCCCTGAAAAATGCGGTTTCAGCCCTTTGCAGCTGGGAGAGGGAAGCTGCACAGCGTTTTCAACCCAGGCACATGTTAGAGTTCTTATCATTCTAAAGCTAAGCCCAGTCCAAAGTTCCCTGGGGTGAACTTTATTACTTGCACTTTCCGTGTAACTGAATAACTGGAGATGGGCTACAATTTTCCTCCTTAGTGCCTGCAAGGAGAGGAACTGAAAAGCCTATTCCTCTTGGTATCGCGGTGTGTCTTTTTCCCAAGAATATTCTCCCTCTCCAGAGACGGACTGGAAACTTGCAACTCCAGCCACACCTTTGGATGCTGACAGCTAGAACCGCCAGGTGAAGACTGTCTCTGGTGACAGGCTTTGTAGGTGCACTAGGGAGATTACGAGCTTCTAGGAATCCAAAAGCTACTCAGACGGTGAGAGCGAAGTGCATGGTGATACGGAGATGTACCAGCAGCAGATGTGGGCCCTGAAGAAAGAGCAGCTTCTGTTCTAGCGTGTACGGTGAGAAGAAGGCCCCTTCTTTCCTGGGAGACGAGACACATGTGCTACTTGTGGTAAATAAGTGAACAAATGCAAGAAGACTGAAGGTACACTGGCTGAGAGAAGTGGACTAGGTCTGCCTACCTTCCTTTCCCAGTATAGAACCCAGGGCTTTCAGTTTCCTGAGCACCTGGGAGAAAAGCAGAACACACAGAAAAGCAAAGGAGTCTACAAAGCACACCAGAATGGTTTCCAGCTTTCCGTAACTGCTGAAGAAATGGCTGGTTTTTCCAGGAGATAGAAAGAAAATCAATTGGAAAGGGAATGAGATATAGCATGTTACGGTCTGATAAGGGAGGAAACTGGAAAATGGTGTATAAAGTTAAGTCTTTGAACAAAGGATTTTTTTTCTAAGAACCTTCTTCATTTGGCTAGTTTTGCTTTCTCACTACCTCGCTGTCAGAATAAACCTTCCCTTCTGCACCGAGGATGGTGGACTCTTGCAGGGTATCTCCAGCTAGCTCGCTCCTCCCTCTTCTCCTTCTCCAGGTAGCCACGTGGCACTCAGCAGGTCAGTGTTCTGCCGCATGCATTTCACTTATTGGCTTATTTCACCTGGCCCTGGCACATAAATGAAAACATTTCATGATTCCTTGGCCAAGAAGCCCCTGTACAACAAAGCTCCTTATTCCTTTGGGTAGACCTTATGAAACTTAAGAGCTGTAACAGTTATCAAAATCTTCACTGACCATAGGTGGTCGTGTTTGTTTACATTGTATATCTTGTTTGCTGAAAAATACTTTGTAATATTTACACACTGCCAAGAAAATCTGAGTACAAAGAACTTGGACTCAGGATTTATAAACTACTGGTTGTAATTTTAAACAAATCTCTTAATCTTTCTAGGACATGAGTAGCTCCTTCATAAAGTAAGAGCCCTCTTGATGAAGTTTTCAGATTCCAGGTTTGGACAGAACCCAGATATGAGATCATAAGAATGATATTATTGTTACCCTTGCCTTAATCTGATAACCGGTAGTGAACGTGAAAAATTGTAATGTCCACACATCGTGACCCAAGTCTCCAACTGTTTTAAAGAAATGCTGTGTGTACGTGTGTACACACACATGTGCACATGATATGATGCTTACTGAAGGGCTATTTGTGGTGGTAATAGCATGGAAGCAATATGAATATTTACCCTTATAGGAAAAGCTTGACCATGATGGTGTAGCGTGTTAAAGCAATCAGGTATAGCAGACTATTTGTATTAAAAGGGCTGAATATTCACTTTTGCAGAAACTGACATATAATGCTCCATTTAATGGCAATAACCTTTTCCCACTATATTGTGGCTACATATAATGTCAAATACTCTTCTCTAAAGGAAACTTTTCTCACAATCCATACACCAAGCTCCCAGCACCAGGTAGCTAAGAATGCAGCTACAACGGGACACCAGCCTGTAAGCAGAAATGGAAAAGACTGGGGAGCACGGCGTCAGCTAGCACACAGGCCACTGTCGCTGCCTTGACCAGCAGCACCTCAGCCACACTTTTGGGGCACTGGCTGCGGTCACCTGCTCTAAACCCATGAGCCGCTGCCTTCTGTACTCAGTCCTCCTGGCCACAAGCAAGCTGTGCCTTTGTGAACTCTCTACCCGAGTTACCACACTGTGGACCCTGATAAGTGCTGCATATGTGTCCTCGTGCAGATACACGCAAATGTATGTGCACTATGTATATTACATATTTATTTAAATTTAAAACATATATCACTATTCTGGAAAATGCTACATAGAAAAATGTTTGAATCGTTAAAGAAATATTGCTGGGCTTTCTTTTCATCTCGTCTCTCCCCTCCACCAACCTCGGCCTCTCACTCCTCCACCTTCTCTCTGATCCCCTGCAGCGTCTGAGTTTTCTGTAAAGGGACAGGCTGAGCCCATCGTGGTACCCCTCGGTGCAGATGCCAGCCTGCCCTGCCGCCTGTCTCCCGAGCAGAGTGCAGCCCACATGTACATCAGGTGGTACCGTGTCCGGCCCTCACCCGCTGGGCTGGTGTTCCAGAACGGACAGGAACCAGTTGGGGAGCAGATGCTGGAGTATCGTGGCAGGACTGAACTGCTGAGAGACGCCATCGGCAAAGGGAGCGTGACGCTGCTGATAAGGCACATTCGGGCCTCTGATGATGGCCTGTATCAGTGTCATTTTAAAGATGGCGACGTCTCCCAAGAGGCCTTCGTGGAGCTGAATGTTGTAGGTATGTGAAGCTGACACAGAAGGTAAGTCACGATGTAAGGTGAAGGGCAAAGTGAGGGCCTCTGGTTTCCCAGCCTGGCAGCGCTGGGGATCTTGGAGATAGTGATATACTTGTACAATGTCAGTTTCTAAACCATACAGAAAACATTTTTATTCTATTTTTTTATTTTATTTCATTTTCATCTTTTTGAGACAGGGTTTCACTATGCAGTGCAGGCTGGCCTTGAGCTCATTTTGTAGCCCAGGCTGGCCTCAAACTCGCAGTGATTCTCCTGCCTCAGCCTCCCAAGTACTAGGATTGCAGGTGTGCACCACCACATCTGGGTCACATTATCTTTCAAATAACAAAGAGGTTAACATGTTTGAACACGCTCTGACATCTGTATTCAGCAGTAAAAGACACTGACATCTTTAAATATTAATTTTTACTCACTCAGGGGAGAAAGACAACCAATAAGAGTTTTAAAACTATTTTTTAGTTTTAATGGTTCCTGTTCTTTTCTCTTCCTACAAGGACCCCAAAGCTCTCTCAGTCCAAGCACACTGCAATGACGGAAAGTTATGACTTCTGAGCTGCAGGTTTCTCAGCAGTCTAGTGAAGGCAATTCGGCCATCCGCTTCAGGGATTCTGAACCCTCAGGACCACAGCCCTCAGGCACATGTCTTCTCTCCTCAGGTGTAGGCTCTGAACCTCATGTTCACATGACAGGACCCAAGGAAGATGGGATCCAAGTGCTGTGCTCCTCAAGCGGCTGGTTCCCAAAACCCAAGGTGCAGTGGAGAGATACTGCGGGAAGGCGGCTACCTTCCCTCCCTGAGTCTCACACCCAACACAAGGATGGGCTCTTTCGTGTGGATGCATCCCTTGTGGTCACAGACAGCTCTCTAGGCAACGTGACCTGCTCTGTCCAAAATCCCCTCTCTGGTCAAGAGAAAATATCTACCATCTTCCTCCCAGGTCAGTGAGGCCCAAACCCACGGGGCACTGGAAGAGCAGGGACAGGGAATGAGGGCTGAAGGAAACCGTGAAGATGGGCGCAGCTTCCTCCATGCCAGCTTCTGACCATGTCTACGTGTGCTTTGTCAGCGCCCTTTTTCCCCAAGGTGTCTGTGTGGAAGTCAGCACTGGCTGGGACATTCCCCATTCTGGGGCTCCTACTCATTGGGATCAGCTACATGGGCTGGAGAGAACATGAAGACAAAAAGAAAGCAATAAAGAAAATGAAAAAGGAATCTCACGAAAGAGCTCAGATGAGTGATGAAAAGGAATATGTACTTAAGACTAAAGGTAAATTGGAGCAACAGGGTAAATGAAGTTCATGCACGAGCTGAGGTACAGGAATCCAAAATTCCAAAGGGCCTTGAGGGAAACGCAGGGCACCAGCCATTCTGCAGAGTTGGGAGTCTGGTGCAGAGGAGAAAACCACGTGGGAAGCGAGGTCAGTGAGCAGTGAGTATCAGGCCCCTGCAGTGCTGCCCCAGTAATAACACCCCACTCTCCCACACCTCTATGCTCCAATCTGTGCTGCTATTTCTCCTCATGCAAGTGTTTCCCTCCATTCCCTTCCTCCTCTCCTTCAGGAATAAAATTCTGAAGTATCTAAGAAATCTTAAATCAGTTTAGATTGGACATACATTTTTGCTAAACACAGCCAGACCTGGTGGTACATGCCTGTAATCACAGCACTTGGGAGGCTGGGGCAGGAAGATCCTTGCAAGTTTGAGACAAGCCTGGGCTACAAAGTGAGCTCAAGACCAGCCTGAACTGCATAGCAAGACCCTGTCTCAAAAAGACAAAAAAAAGAAAAAAGAAAATAGCATTTTTGCTAAACTCTCTCATCTAAATTACGTGGCCCTCAAGAAAAGCCCAAATTTAATTCATTTAGCTACTAAACTTAGCTAAAACTCAATTTGATATATTTTATATCTTCTTTCAGCGGAACTCGAGGCAGCCCTTGGTGAGTCTTCCTTCTTCTTCCCTCTGCAGTTTTGCTTTTTCACAGCTGTTCTGGACCTCTCACTGAATATTCTTTCTTTCAGAACAGCGAAAGGCATTATACAATAAAGGTAAGAGACTCTTCATTCCCCATACCACTTGAGGTCCCAATGCCCAACACTTCCTAACGTTCCTTTCCCTAGAGGAAAAGACTATAAAAGATTTAATGATGATTAGTGGAACAAAGAAGAAAAAGGAGAAATGTGAGGCCATAGATGAGTGTCTAACCTTGTTTTGCCTGGATTTTTTTTCTTGTTTTAGATTGGAAGAAAGCCCTACTGTATCCTGGTAAGTGAATTGCCAGCCTTGAATTTTACCTGGTTATGAGCATAATAAGCAGACACATAAAGAATATAGGTTATAAGATGTTCTTCTGGACTTAAGACGTTCACAGGTTCTACAAATCAGAGTGGTAAATTCCTTAACGAAAAGAAGTCAGTGAAGAACCACAGTGAGGCACCCTTTAAAAAGTATGTGTGGCTCCATATATGCAGATGTTCCTAAGACTCTATGAGAATATTTGATCTATAAATAAAATCACCTATTCCATTATCTGAGAAGCAGGCCCAGGGAAAATAATGCGGTTGTCTTATTCTGAAGAAAAGTACAAAAAATTTTCTTTCAGTGGTGAAAATAATAGACTATGGAAAGCTTTTAACCATAAACTGAAGCCCTCATCTGAGAAGGTCACAGGCTGGGAAAGAGAACCAAAATAAAGTAGAATAAAAGGGCATTTCATGGTTGCCATCCACAAAGAGGAGAGCCGCGCAGAACACGGTATCAAGCTATCCTCAGCACCTATTCCAGGTGATCTCTTGAGCTCACTCAGGTAAAATAAGCTCAGCCCCCTAACACTGGACTGAATTAGGGCAGAGAGCCTAGCCTGAGACAACAGAGAAAACAGCCCAAATATGGTACTGCTGTTTCTGTACCGTATTTCCCCAGAGCTAAGACCTAACTGGAAAATAAGCCCTGGCATAATTTTTCAGGAAGTTCCTTACTATAAGCCCTACCCCAAAAATAAGTCCCTGTCAAGCTCATCAGACAGACAGACATATTTAGTATGTCCGTTGGATTATAAAATATGAATACACGCTTACATACAAATAAACATTTTTGAGATTAATACTTAAAATAAATGATAATATAAATTATAACTGAGTGTTTGTAAATACCCAAGCAAGCAATGATGAGGGGTGAACACCTGTGTAAGCAGACGAACGCATCGGCACACAGACGCAGCGCGTGAATGCTGTGAGTGAGCACTCGAGAACAGATGTGGGTGTGTCCAATACGAATCTTCATAATTCAATACACTGTGTGTTTTAATGGACACACTTAATGCCGTTGTGTGAAATAAAATGGTTTTTAATTTTGGTGCCTGCAATTTTCCGTCACTGTTGTGCGGAGCATCGTTCTTAACGGTTATCATTCTTGTTGCCCCTCGTAAGCCTTCAGCTAACACTGGATTTAGTGGGCACTTGGCGAAGCCCAGCCTGCAAGAGGCTGTGACTTGGGTGAGGATTCAGGGGATGAAATCACTGACAGGTGTGCTGTCAGTGCAGTACAAGCAGGCTCCTGCACAAGAAATGCGCACGTAAGCAGAGTTCCATCGCTGGACGTGAGAGATTGGGGCCAACAGTTTTACAGGAAATGGAGTTGTAAGGAATTCTGGCTGGAACTCAGGGTTTGGAGTTACGATGGTGTTCTAAAAGATGACCTGACTATATTTGAACAAAGGTACATTTTTGTACATGAACAAATGGTATTGTTGTACATGAAAAAATAAAACATCCCTAAAAATAAGCTCTATTACAGCTTTTAGAGCAAAAATTAATATAAGACCCAGACTTATTTTAGAGGAAATATGGTATATAGCAAAATTTGAGAGCCTTATCAAAGGATATAAGGGAAGTTGGGAGAGGAAGACAATAGGCCAGAGAAGGATGTATCTTTTCCTTTTCTTTTTTTATTTTTTTTATTTTAAAAATAAAAGGAGGAAAACATTAACAGACAGACAACCTTTTACAAAATAGCAAAAGAACGGTACAGACAATACGGAGTTACAAACAAAGTGGTAGGAAATTAACAATGCTTGTTGTATTACATATTGATGTCTTCAAAGTGGTTGCTCACGAAAACAGATAGAGACATGCAGTACTGATCAATCAAGGACTCATTGACAGTTTCTTTCAGCAAAGAAATAGAAGACAGTAGAACAACTATGTTAGCTATCCTGTACATACGTACGTACAAAATTTCTCCTTCTTTCCCTTCTCTTTTCCCACATCCCAGGTGCCCTTTTCTTTTCCTTTTCATATCCTAGTTATGTTTGCATCCTGGTCTCAATTTATATTGCTCTTTTTCAGATTGGAGAAAAGAACATTTCAAGCCTGGTGAGTCGTTCTTGTGTATCATTTTGTTTCCTTTCCAACCTACCCTCCCATTGTCATATTTTCTCTTCCTAATTTCAACTTCCAGTTGAAAAGACAATGGCACCATTATTCTGGTAAAGAAAGAATACGAACATTATTAAGTGCTGGCCTGATCTTGAGATTACAGCTAGCTTTAGCCAGTCTGATTGTGTCTCCACATTCACACAGTGTTGCAGCTTTTCTGTTTGTGGATCCACTTGGTTTTAAAAAGAGGTTAACATGTCTCTCAGCTGAGGAGACCCCACCTTAAACAGTGCTTCTAATAGCAAGAGTACTCAGCTGCTCTTTTCAAGATCTTTTCAGTGATTAGCTTATGTGCAACCAGTTATTCATTGAGAAACATGTTTTAATTTATAGAGAACATGGAAAGAATATTCTCAAGTAATCACTGAGAGTCCTGGCTTTCCCTGGTGCTGTGCTCAGACAATGACAGTAGCATAAACACCATAAAATGGGACAAGGAGCCTAGAATCCATGCTGAGAGCACACACAAACACCAGGACACACTCACAGGGAAGGTGCTGTCTCACCACCCGCTCCTCATTCTCTGTTTAACATTTGTAGAACAATAGCTTCCTGGAATTTAATAATAATAAATGCCTAGCATTTATTAATTATTATTTAATAATAATATATGCCTATAATATACAG